AAAAACACCCCTAGGCAGGGCCATTTTACGTGTGATGGCTTAGACTGCATGGAGCAGAGTGGAACGTCTGTAGGTGCGGGACGGACGGCCTGGAAGCTAACCTGCTATCATCGTCGGTGAGGGATTGAAATGCCATAGTGATGAGATTTCCGAGGATGAACAGGCCTGTGGAAAGCTGAGCTGCCCACAGAGGGGACTTTCCTGAGTGCAAAAATGAGATAGGGGCATCTTTTCAACCTGACTGCAGCGGTCCTGCAACAGGCCGGTTCCGTTGAATCCAGGACCTGCTGCACGCACTTCTGACTACTTTGCTTATCACGGAGATGCAATGTCGCTGAGGGTACCCGATGCCCAACAGGAAAGGAGTGCGTCTACGTGCTTGGAGGAGCAGGAGCATTGGGAACAAGGCACCTGCGAGTTTTTGTAAATGGGACCGTTCGGGCATGTGGAACGAAGCTAGGGAAAACAAAAACGGCTTACCGACGGAATCAGGGTTACACCTGAAGAAGCGAAGAAGCGAGAGAGGATCATTGCCCCCTGATGCAGCTGTTGCTAAGAGGGTGGCATAGGCGAGCAGCTGGATTAGAAGGCCTAACCGGAGATTGTAGTTGACACAGAATGACCAGAATGGCTCGAATTGCGGGCCCCGGCCCTCCGGAGCCTCACCCGGACGGACAACGTAGGTGAAATACATTTTTGTGAGGGATAAAAATGTGTTATGTAGCTCTATCGATGCTTCACGAACGAACTTTCTGCCTGCGGCGCTCTATCTGCGTGGAACGCTAACTGAGGATGGATGGTCGACCTGAGCTGCAGAGATTCCTCAACACTGGCAAAAAGTTGATTCGAATTTACTTTTGCATACACAGAAGACTTTAGAAATATTGTGGGAACTGGCTCTCGGTTAGCTCCAAGATCAAAACACAACAGGACGAAGCGCCGCCGACGCCGCTCAGCCTGCTGGCCCTTGACCGCTGGCGTGTCCAAGCAGCCGTTGCCGCAGACGGTCTCTCTAACTACGTGACGGATGGCGCGTAGAGGTTTACAGAAGTTTATAATGGTGAGTTTTATGTATTAATGCTTCACTTATTTTTTCGCAATGCTTCTCTCGTTGAGGTGAGCTAGGTCACCGCTCTCCCCCGCGCATGTCCAATCGAGGTGGCCAGCTGGTATAAGCGCCTTGTCAGAGGAGCGAAACCCCCATCAACCACCTTATATAAGAGCCTTTAAAGATGAACAGTGGGAAATATTTATGGAAAAGTGAAAGTGAATTAATTTGTGAAATATTAGCCTGCTTACCGTCAGGCAATCTCCTCAATGAGTGCGAAGCACTTCATCACGGTCACCGCTTTAAGTATATCACCAAAGTAGACTATTTGCTACTTGAAGGTGCGGCAATAAGGGCAAACCGCATCCTTTTCCCAGGTTGCAAGAATCTATCCATATTCTTCCGTTTATAACAGCTTGTCAAAACGTCTTAACCAGAACGTTTTTCCCCTGCTACAGTATGCTTCCAATTTAACCTGAGTGGAATCCTATTCTCAAGCCACAGCAGAATGTTACAGGGCCATTAAGCACTACGGAAGCCCTCATAGTTTCCTATCGCCGCGGAGCGAGGGTGGCGGCTTCGCAGAGGCCAAAACGGGGAGCTTGAGTACGAACCGCAGTAGGAAGTGCACCGAAGGCACTAAAAAAAATTATTCTCGCCGTAATAGGTTCCACGGCTCACAAGCCATTTCGGGCCTTGCAAGAGACTCCGTTTTACGGGTTTTCGAGCTATTTTCCCTTTAGGGTGTGCAGTTAATAGTAGGAGAGAGTGTAGTGCGTGGAGATGCAATACTCGTCAGTTCGTAGCTCCAAAGAATCAGTTACCGTGTTTTAAATCAGGGTAATGCAACGTATGCAGAGGGGAGTATACAGGTGTCTCTAACCGACCCGGTTTTGAGAAGGCCTTACCTCTATGAAAGGCCTGCAATCCGTGCAGCACCACCCGGTGCTTATTCGCCAGCTCGCACATGATTCTAAATCTTACGATACTGAGTAGTTCGCTGCAGATGAGGCTAAAACTGCAGTGAGCTGCATTGGGGATTACGTGCCATTATATGGTCATGAAGTAGCGCCACAGTAGTTGTCATCTGGAGATTTTGCCCTTGAAACATATGTTTAATAATCTAGCTTCGAATTCATATAGGGGAGCTGATTGCATGAATTGCGCCGTAAAGGGGAGAAATTTGCCCATTGCGTGCATACCCTGCGTGTTTTGGTGTTTTTCGGGCTTGCCGAGGTGAATTGCACTCCTAGCCACTGGAATCGTTGCTCTCATCTNGTGTTTTGGTGTTTTTCGGGCTTGCCGAGGTGAATTGCACTCCTAGCCACTGGAATCGTTGCTCTCATCTCGGTGCGGCCCACACACCTTTAAATTTAACGCCTCTCTGCAACGGAAAATTCGGTTAATCGCTTATTCAGTTTCGTGGAAGAGATTCGTCTGAAACATATACGTATTAAGGTGAGAGGACGGGCTTGCCGATTCACTGCTTTCTCGCTTTTGGCGTTGCATGCTTCGCATGCCATAAGCAGCTTGAAATTTGTCTGCTCCTAGAGAAAAACTCAACCACGTGCTCACGAAATTCTGTGTTAGCACAATTTTATGAATTTACTTTTCGAATGTCACCAAACTGCCTGTCTAAAGAAAGACCCAACTAGTTGCTTGCTCAGTTGTGTGTTTGTGCAACATGATAAACAACTTTGGTGAATATGAGGGGGTGCTATGAAACCCAGTTTGTCCCTCTGGGTGTCTGGAGTGGCAACGGCTTTTGTTCCTTCTCGCTTGTTGGTTTCACGGCGTACTTTGGGCACCTCATGTAAGCACGGGACACAACAATGCGGATAAGAAATAGTGCATTGATCCTCTGTGGAACATGATATATTGCAGAGGTTTCTTCTGATGCTTCCAGTGTGTGCATCCCAGTTCGTGCTATCTTCTCGCTGTTCATGAAGATGAAATAAACTAAACACCCTGACGAATTTCATGGGAATTTCAACCCCTATGGCGGCCAGTTGAATGTTCGTTTTCTACTGCGAGGTCCTGCTTATCCCCACAAATCGGCAGGCGGCTCGAACTACCCCGCAATACAGCTTATGTTACTAGTCCTGGTTCCCAAATATGCGTGCGTTTTTATATGCTTAACCGGACATGTTTTTCATAATGTCGTCGTCCGCTGTGTAGTGGGATGCCGGAAACTGCCGTTTGACTCTCAGATCCCGAAAACTTCAACCATCAGCAACAAGAAAGGAGAAACACACTAGATTTACTGTAAAAAGCCTGTGTGAGATTCGCACTCATGGGGCGGCCCTAGTTTGCTGTGTACTGCTATGGCGGTGAGCAGAGCGCCTGGAGGCCAGCCCACCATGCCGATCGCACATTACGGTACACTTCACTCTGCGGATCTGATCTGCCTTTACTTATTAATTAATTTTAATGATTCTATGACCAGCGGAACTGAATTGCCGTTGCCTTCATCTGTTTTGCCAGTTGCCGTCGCACCCTACCAGCCGCGGTTGTGACGTGGCGCAGCATTGTTTACTACTACTGTGCCTACCGTGCAGAGCACAACACACTAAGGCATTTGAGGCTAAGGCCTTGATCTGAGGTACCTCATGCTTTGAAGGGAGGCTGAGATATTCCCGGCCGTTGTCTTCTTGAATTCAGTNTTGATCTGAGGTACCTCATGCTTTGAAGGGAGGCTGAGATATTCCCGGCCGTTGTCTTCTTGAATTCAGTTGGGGGCTCAGGATTGGTGCGCCTTTGACTAACAAAGGTCACCTAAGGGAACCGAAAATGTTCGGAGACGTAGCGCAGCCGGAGGAGTACCAAACAGTGGAGTTCACTGTTTATAAAAGTGCAAAGGTCATGAGCCCTCCCGATATGCCTGACTATATGCTTGACTACACTATAGCAAAGGCGTGAGCTCCCGCCCTGCCTTCCTACTTGCCATGCATGCATCTTAATGTACTTCCACCCTTGCTCCAAAGTGCTTTGAAAGTTGACATGTGCACAAAGGCTAGAAAAGAAGCAAAAAAAAAGGCACTCCGGTCCTACTGCTGCACAACTCCCCTCCGAATGTTGGTTACCCAGGAAGGAGCTTTTGGAGGGCGACAACGGCTCGAATGCTCAGGAAGTTGCAACAGCGCTCAAGAGGGATTTAGATGAGAAATGGCAGCCATGCTGGTACGCGTTAGGAAGCCCAAACACCTTCCTCATGTAACAAAAGCCGTCTCGAGGTGTGGGGCCTCCCCAGAGCATGCAAGCAGAACTTCCCTCATTGCTTCTTGCGTTCACCAGCAGCAATTA